TGAAAATAAAATAACTTAATGCAATTATCAAGTAGCATTAAATATTTTACACTTATAATAGTAGTCATATTTCAAAGAACATAAGTGACATTTACGTTTTACTAACAGTTAGCTTTATGTTGATTTTTTTTTTTTTTTTTTTTTTTTTTTTTTTTTTTTTTTTTTTTATGTCTCATTTTGTCACATACTTGGTCCTAGAGGCTTAGTAAATAGCAGGTAGATTTTATGTCAAACAGCATAGGTTAAAATGAGAAGTAAGATCATAATCAGCATGATTCATAACAAAAGACTGGATGTTGTCACCGCTGCTGCTTGTCTAGAGAGAGACCTGCTGATTAGAACAAACCTGAAAGGCCTGATGTATGCACGGTTGGCAAGTTAGTCAGGCTCTGTTTGATGCAGTTAGTGTCATAGCTTTGTGCAGAGTTCCAGGGGTTGTAACCCAGTTAATATACTTTAAGGTTCCAATAAGAAATTAAAGCACCAGAGGTGATAAGTTGTTTTGTATCATTTTAAGTCTCACTAGATGCAAAGAACAAGTTTTACTTGAATTTTTACATTTTTATATTTTATCTTGTGACCACAGTGAGACTTAATGAAACACAATAACTCGTTTTAATATGTAAAGATACTTTTTAAGGGTAAGCAGTATAAATAACTAGATTAGGTAGTTTAATAACCTTAGTCATTATAGATTTACATGACCACTATTAAATTTTATTTTTTAACAATATTTGTTAAAAAAGTCCTATTAAAATCAAAATCTAATAAAATTTCTCAGTTTAAAATGCATGTAATTTATGAAATTGGTTCTTAAACTATATTAGGATAATAACACATTAAAAGCTACAAAATATTTATGTTTTGTAGCAACAACACTCATCAAAATATTTATCTGTCATTTTAATTTGAAGCCTTCCCAGACATTTTGGCTAGTTTATATCTATGTTCTTCTCTTTAAGCATCTTTACTAATTTTTAGAGATTTGTCTTAATATGCAAACCAATGCTTTTGCGTGTTTCTGCGTGCCTTATCTCCTAACTTGGCAACCTCTCCACAATGTAACTATGAGGGTTTACTTGATCCGGTAAAGGTTAAATAGTTCAAACACCCAACAGACTTGAAGCATATTATCACTATGTCTGAAAGTAACTACAATATCAGACAAAGGTTTAAATAAGCCTATTTATTTAAAAGAACTTAGAACATAAAGGCATGTTCTGATGCTAACAAAATCAATTACAGCTCACGGTGACGTAATTAAACAAGAACAGCCAAATTCAAACTAATAATGAGGGCCCACCAGCAGCCGAGCGGTTTTCCCCATGTGTAACGTGTATATGAGCTAGTTTCCCTTAGAAAGTCCTCCACAAAGGCATCCTTTCCCCTTAAGAAGATAGCTTTAGTGTGCTTTGCCATAGTTAAATATACCAAACTAGTGGTCAAACTAGTCATATTATGAAGTTTCATTTTGGTATCTTATACAATATTTTGAATCTGAGAAATAAACAAGATATAATGCTATGAAGCACAATTTATGAAACAGCTCTTAGCAAAAGAAAAATTAGCTATATGATTAATTAAAAATATCTTCTTTTTAATTTTCTTGTAGTAAGAGTTTTTCCCATGTAAAATTATCTCAGAATATTCAAAACTCTCGAAATGTGCATCAGTTTTCTCTATAAAATTAATTTTATGCTTTTTCCCTCTCTTTTCTTTCCAAAAAATTTCTGGCTTTTTGCCGTAACAGAAATGGTAGAATTAATTTTTCTTTAGGATTTTAGACATTGCAGCTTGGAAAGTTTAGAAGGATTTGAAAGCAAGATTTATAGACCCACATTTTAGAAGATTTGAGAAATATGTGACAAATGGAAAAATGTCTCCATGGTATCAACACGTAATGGGTGTATTTTACAGAAAGTTTGCAATGAATTTCTTACTGAGAACGTCTAGAAGAATCTTAACATGTTTATCTTCCCTTTATTTTCTCTACTTTTCACTAGACACAAGCATAGAAAATATCAAAAATGCTTCTAATCTAGTGGTCAATAGGATAAATATTTTGATGAGTGTTGTTGCTACAAAACATAAATATTTTGTAGCTTTTAATGTGTTATTATCCTAATATAGTTTAAGAACCAATTTCATAAATTACATGCATTTTAAACTGAGAAATTTTATTAGATTTTTATTTTAAATTTTATTAGATTTTATTAGATTAATTTAAATTTAATCTGGCTCAGTAACTTTATCATATGAAGAAATAGAAATCGGAAATTATAGTAAAGGTTGAAATCATAAACAATTGGGTAATTTACATAATAATAACTGCACATATCTTATAATAAATAGAATAATTTTCTTCATATATACAGTTTCTTCCTTCAACATGTTTCCTTTTCATTTTAGAATTTTTGGATTTAATTAAGGATTTCTGTTATTCTAAAAAATACTAAATGCATTAAGAATACACAGAAAAGTGGCTAATTTTATTTCTTTAGTAATATGAACATTCAGAAGAAATATGAAATATATATGTTAAAGGGCCAGTTACAGAGCTGATGTGGCAGAATTTTCAGAATTTAGTGACACACCAAACAACAAAATCAAGAAATGGCAAAATTTTAGAATTTAGAGCAGGCATTGTAAGCAGAATTTAGAAAGGCACTAGGCAGCAGAATTTAGGATCCACAGAGACTGACTGCATCAGGTGGGAAAATGCCTAGTGCCAGCTATGTGTATGATGAATTAATACATATTAGATGAATCTTTTAAATTGTAAGTTTTCAATTTCTTTATTAATAAAAAAATCCCTTCCTATAATGCCTGCCCATGTGATAAGATTAGAAGCATTTTTGATATTTTCTATGCTTGTGTCTAGTGAAAAGTAGAGAAAATAAAGGGAAGATAAACATGTTAAGATTCTTCTAGACGTTCTCAGTAAGAAATTCATTGCAAACTTTCTGTAAAATACACCCATTACGTGTTGATACCATGGAGACATTTTTCATTTTGTCACATATTTCTCAAATCTTCTAGAATTGTGGGTCTATAAATCTTGCTTTCAAATCCTTCTAAACTTTCCAAGCTGCAATGTCTAAAATCCTAAAGAAAAATTAATTCTACCATTTCTGTTACGGCAAAAAGCCAGAAATTTTTTGGAAAGAAAAGAGAGGGAAAAAGCATAAAATTAATTTTATAGAGAAAACTGATGCACATTTCGAGAGTTTTGAATATTCTGAGATAATTTTACATGGGAAAAACTCTTACTACAAGAAAATTAAAAAGAAGATATTTTTAATTAATCATATAGCTAATTTTTCTTTTGCTAAGAGCTGTTTCATAAATTGTGCTTCATAGCATTATATCTTGTTTATTTCTCAGATTCAAAATATTGTATAAGATACCAAAATGAAACTTCATAATATGACAGCGAAAAATAAAAATGTTTTATTTTAATGTTATTTTTTAAATATAATTTCAACATATTACCATTTCTTTACTGAAATTTATCAATGTTAAGATGTTTAAAAAAAAAAAAAAAAAAAAAACCGTCGAAAAATTCTCAGGTATCGGAATTAAAAAGTTTCTATATAAACTGATCTTAAAAGCGCCAAAACGTTGAAAAGTTGCCAAATTTAGAACTGTTTAATAAAAGAATTCACATTCCCAAAAGCGAAAATTTTAAAAGCTCTTTATTAGAAAAAATGACTTTCGAAATGCTTATGTTTCACTTCTTGCTTAGAAACTCGAGTATCCCATCATTTATATTAGAAACAAATTATGACTCGTGAACCCATTCAAAAGATAACCATATATAATACATCAGTGAATCGCGAAAAATATTCCTCCAAAATGCTAATTCACACTCAAAATGGCCATCGTAAAAACTGACAGAAATTTCAGACGATTAAAATTAAGGACCTTCTGCTGATTTTGGACAAAATTAAGGACTTTTAAGGATCAAAAATCGATTCCAGAAAATCTAAGGACTTTTAAGGACTCTTAAGGACCGTACGAACCCTGTACTACCATTAGTGTAATGAAATTTATCAATGTTATGATGTTTTAAAAACAATCTTAGAAAAATTCTCAGATCTTGGAATTAAAAATTTTCTATAGTAACTAATCTTTAAAATCCCCAAAATGTTGACAAGTCACGAAATTTAGAACCGTTTAATAAAAGAATTCACATCCCCAAAAGCGAAAAGTTGTTTAAGAGCTCTTTATTAAAAAAAATGAATTGCGAAATGCTCATGTTTTACTTCTTGCTTAGAAACTCGAGTATACCGTTATTTATATTAGAAATAGAAGCAAATTATAACCCAGTCAAAAGATAACCATATATGTCAGTGAATCACCAAAAATATTCCTCCAAAATGCTAATTCACACTCAAAATGACAGTCGTAAAAACAAACAGAATTTTTAGATGATTAAAATTAAGGACCTTCTGCTGATTTGGCCAAAATTAAGGACTTTTATGGACCAAAAATCGATTCCAAAAAATTTAAGGACTCTTTAGGACCGCACGAACCTTGTTTGCTTCTATTCTAAACCATGTACATTTACAACTAATTTCTAAACTTCACTTCACAGCAATACCAGCATATGCATTCAAAATGTAATGCTGATTTTTCCATGGCAGCACATGACTGGCACCTGATGTTTGGGAGGGGAAAGAAATATTTTTATCTGCAACATCAGGGAATACACGGTTCTGTGTTTCTATGGAAGAGCTAAATAAGAGAATAATCAAAAGCAAAAACTTCCAGGGAATTCAAATTATCAGATTTAAATCTGACATAAAATCGAATATTAAGGAAAGTTGTTGCAAGATAACTTTATCGAAGGCCTTTTAAAGACTTGATAATATTAAAATAATACCACTAAATTAAATTTCATTCAAATTTGGTGACTAATTTGAAAAGTTATAATTCTTGTGAAGTTACTCTTAGGTATCAGAACATGCTACACACTTATAAGAAATACACAACCAGCCTTTTAGATTAGAGATAAAAAAACCAGTATTAAAAAAATTCAATAACTTGAGATTTTAATAACAGAAAGAAAATTAAATTTAAAACACATTTGGAAATAAAAATAGATTTTAATACTTTTAACAGAAAAATGTTTTTTGCAAGCATTTTAGAAATTTAAAAAGAAAAAGAAAGAGGGGAGGGGAGGGGGGAAGACCCTCCTCCCAAGAACCTTTGAAGATATATGCATGCTGAAACAAAATCAACAATTAAAATTATTTGGCAAAAATTAAGATTGACGGAGTACTCACTTTATCTAATGGAAAGTCCTCCAAGTTTGTACTACTAGGAGTAGATGCAGTAGTCTCCGACAGCTTTGTGCTACTGTCTTTTCGTGAAGGAATAGTAATGCTGTGATTAGTTACAGCTATAAGGAGGGAAAAGATCTCGTATAAATTTTCTTAATTAAACTATCACTTTAAATTTGCAAATTGAAAGTTACTTTAATACAGGCTCCTACATAATTCATTAAAAATGTTATCAAACAGCAGCAGCCATAGGGAAGCCTGGGAAAGGAAACAATATGAAAACACAAGTCCTATATTTTCAAAAGATGCTGAGATAATCAGTTTAGGAGACTCAAGTAGCTTTGCTCATAAAGGAAAATGAAAGAGTAAAAAAACCACAGCCACAAAGTTATGCATTAGCTAAGCCCCACCCTTCTTGAACAATGATAAGAAAAGCAGAATAATTTGCATGGATAATAGATAGGATATTTAAGATATTGAGAAAAATAAATTAATATGGTAGCCAGGAAAAGGAAATTCAGACTATGATAAAGTAATACAATAAACAAAATGGTGATTATCTAGGTAATGTCAAATTTATTTAATCAACACATGCTTGAAACAAAATTGCTGCAAAATACAAAAGCAAGAACGAAAAAAATCAATGAAACATAATTATATTATTATATGACAGTTCTGAAAGAAATTAAAAATTCCAAAAGGAGCTACAATCTTGTATAACTGGCTACCAAGACATATACAAGTGTCTAGTGAAACAACAGTTGTCGCAAAAGCTGATCACCAACTACATGGTAACTGAAAAAATGTCAACTCTAAACGAGTGTGAGGTCAAAGGACGAAAGTGATTTTGAACCAACCAGTTTACCACAAGAAAGTTCACATATTGTCAGACTACGAAGGATAATGGTTATACATTTTGTATCTGTAAAAGAAGTACATATGTAAATAAAATATTTTAAAATGTTCACATGAATTTTCTAAATCAGATTCTAAAGGGTTTGGAGAGATTGTAGCTGCCAAGCCTCGTGTCTTGATTTCATTAAAATAATGCCTAGTTATTTTGTAAGGTTTTCAAGTTATTTTCTATGTGAGACTTTTTTATGCAATCCCTATTACCACAATAAAACTTTTTAATTGTGTTGCAAATATTTTTAATAGCTACTTGTGAAATTTTGTGTGATTTTTTTGTATGCATTTTCTTTTATGTGGTCCCTATAGACTGCACAAAAACAGGTTTGAGTGTATACACAAAAACAAACTAGAAAATATTTTAAAAGTTGGAAGGAACAGTTTAATTCAATTAAGAGAAAATACAGTCAAAAGTCGTTAATCCGGACTCGTCGGGACTTCGGCGATTCCGGATTATAGATCATCAGTTTAAATCTGGTAAGATGGCATGCAGAAATTATAAAATTAAAAATATGAAACCCTAATTTATGAAATAAAGAACAATTATGATCTAAAGGGTACTTTACTTTATTGTTTACTTTATTAAACATTTCTTTCAATGTAAGTTGTTTAAGTTGCCTCATTTTTTATGTGATAATACATTCTCTTTAATTCTTTAAACAGACAATTTCTTGTTCAGTTACAAAGTTCCGCTGTTTAAGTCCTATAATTGCTGTGTCGAGAATACCGACTAATTTGTCAATTGAAATTTTTTCGTTTTCAATAACCTCTGTCACTTTCTTCGCTATCGGAAGCGAATTATAATGACGAGGAATTTGATTTAAATCATGTCAAAGATGGAGTACATCCGAGATGAAATACTACATTTAATAAGGGATTATAAGCCAAATAAAATAAAAACATCTGTCCTGAAGTTAAGCATAGTGCTGACAGATCAACTTCCAATTCATTCCGTGGCGTTAAAGCTAAACAAACGTTAAAGTTTAGATAAACAAAGGATATGCCTTTATCTATTTTTTGTAGCAATTCCACTTTTTGTTTAATGAACTTCGAAACATACTTTCGCTTTGTAGATCATTTACATATTAAAAATATATATCAGAAATTCTATTTGACATAATCAAAAGTTCAAGCTTACTTTTATAAAATTGCTCTATCAGTCTGCAAAAAATAATAAGCCAGATCCAATTCGAAGATTAAGGAACAACACAATCTGAAACATTAACTGAAATAGATAATTAAATAATTTTAGCTTAGCTTACACCGTCCATTATACATTAAACGCGCACTCGTAAACGTATTTTGCGCACGCGCACAAGCATATTCTCAGCCGTAAAGGCCTTACGCGCATGCAGAAAGTTTGAAGCTTTGAGGTCCGGATTATGGGTGTCCGAATTAACGACTTTTGACTGTATTTTAAAATTTGGAAGGAACAGTTTAATTCTGAAACTCTAATGAAAAACAAGAAAAGATTCTAATCCCCAAAAGTATGAACAATAAAAATAATTTAAAAGGAGTTTAATATCACAAGCAACTTCATCAAAAGGCAAAATGACTGATTACAAATCAAGAAATAAATTTAAAAGTATGCTTCTTTTAGTTACACTAACATTCCAAAATGAATAGCAAAGCAAATGCTCCCAATTACAAATAAAGGAAAGGAAAATTAAATTAAAAATAAATTCTCAGAGAAAATCAGAAGCAAAAAACAGCAACATGACAAAAAAATTTAACTCTTTATCTATTAATTCTAAGTGTAGTTAACTTCATGAAATAAAAGTTATCTGCAAGAGATTTTTGAAGATATTAAAACAAAACAGAAATATATATATATATACTACTTACCAGAGAAAGTTTTTGGCAAAGATGAAGATAAAGGTGCCATATCTAGGTAACCTTCATGCTGTGCAGTTGACACAGGCGTTGTATAATGGTCCCGTAATGGAGCCATGTGAATATAACCATCTTTGTTTTGATTTAAATCAGTGACTGATGACTCGAGAGAAGAACAAGATTTGTTGGCTCTTAATTCGACATTAGCACCAAGAGGACTCATATTTATGTAACCTTCTACAGTATGGGGCAAAAAACTTTTAATTATAAATATATATTATAACAAAAGAGAATAATAGCTACACAAGAAAGTTATATTTCTTTAACACATTTACTCAAATATTTTTCCCTTTTTTACCAAATTTATCATCTGAAAATCAAGAAGGTAAAATTATGCGAATAAATTTTTAAAGGATGCAGTTACAGTATGAATATAAAAAATGGTAAGTATTTAGGAATAAACTACAGATATCTATCGCAATATTATTTCTTTAAAAGAAGCCTACATTCCAATATAAATACACAGTAATAATAGCATTGCAATATCTAATAAAATATCTTTATTTCTTCTTTCCTATATCCTGACTACAGCTTGCAGATAGATGCTATTGTCACTGATTAGTCTATCTTCCCACACATTGATCTCCAGAAACATTAAGGCATCAGATATCTCAGTTTTCTTGAAGCTCTTCATTATCACTGTGTGAGGCACTAGTGCCCTTTATGGATAGTGAGGATAGCAGCGGCAGCGAAATGCACAGAAAAAAAGAGTCATGCGGAACATGCTGAATGGTTTTAAAAAATCTTAATAAGAGATGTATGTAAAATATAGTTATCGCCTAGAATTACTGTGAATAAAAACATTAAAAAAATATATGTTTATTTAATGATGCCAAATATAACGTACGAAAAAACCCCACAATTCTCAGTCATGAGAAAAGTCAAATAGAATAATGGCATTATAAGGTGAAACAAACAAGAAATATTAAGTTTTGTGTATTGCATAAAAAATATTACAAAGTGTACCAAATACAGAGTTTTTAGAACATCAATAACTAATATTGTAAACAAGTATATGACAATATAAAAAATAATAATGATACTGAAAATTTATTTAACATTGCTAATAATAAAAAAAAGAACCATATAACTTAGATTTAATTAAAATTGTAAGATACTGTATCTTTTGATAGATGATGAAAAGAAACTTAAAATGGAAATCAAAGGTTCTACGAATCACAATAATAAAATAATTTTACATAAATCTAGAATAAATAGATATTTAAAATCCAGTCTAGAATTAGACATTAGGTCAACTGAATACAAGAGTGAAATTCATCATGTTTGCCATTCTAAATTACAAATTTCTAAATTTTATGGTGATGTAAGTCAAAGGACAAGTTTTTGAAACCCATTCAAAATTGCAATACATGACAATTTTACCTTTTCAAAAGTAGAAAAATTTAATTACTTAAAATCCTACATAAGTGGAACTGCTAACAATGTTATAGAAGATTTTTCAACATAAGAAGGAAATTACGATGCAGGAATACACATTTTGAATACTAGATTTGGAAGATGCGATATTATCACACATATGCAAAAACTCTTAAATTTTCTCCTGAATACTAGATTTGGAAGATGCAATGTTATCGCACGCACATAAGAAAAATTCTTAAATTTTCTACTTTTTACCAACCAAGCAGCATTTTAAAATAAAAAATTATATGACACTATAGAAATCCAGGTTTAAAGATTTTCCTTTTTAAATATTTATCCCCAAACAACAATATGTAGATTTCTGTTTCATTCAGAGTAATTTCAGCAGATTCAGAAATAATATACACTCATAATTAATATGCAGATGTTTTGATATAAATAAATTTCTAGAATTCCTCAAAAAACAATTGCAAGCTTTAGAAATACAGCAAACGCATTTAATGTAGATGACACAGAGAAAAAAATTTCAGTTTAACTCCAACAAGCCATCAAGAACAGATGTAGACTGTTATCAGCAGCGGCCTAAATGTAAATGACTAACAAAAAGCCTTTCACCAGAGCCTCAGTATCCAGAACATGTTTATTTTATGAGTTACTAATCTCTAAAACAAAAGATAAATTGTTTGGATATTGACATAGGCTTGAAAAGAGAAAAATTAAAAGGATAGGGTAGGTGTTACAAATGCTTCTGCAAGAGGAATATAGCAAAAAATTGTAGAATTATGCAGTAAACTTCATCACACAACTTGATGTAATTCTGAAAAGCAAAATTTGGAAATTGATATACAATGTAGTAAAACAGAAAATCATTTACGTAAAACAAATGTATCAACTCATGCTTTAACGAGTTTGAAGGACAGGTCTGAGAAAATTAATAGTCATTTTGAATCTTTCATTATGGTACAAGCAGAATAATATGATAAACTGTTAAATGCTGTCATTGATATTACCACACAGATCAATATTATAAAGAGTACTGTTGTACCAATATATAATAATAATATAAAGATTTAATATAAGAGACCACACGAAAGTATAATATTAAAATCTGCTTTTGGACAGAAAGTTAATGACAGAAGGATCTTTAATAAAAGTAAATTTAGCGACGAGTTTACAACCAAGTACTGTGTATGCACCTGTTACAGTTACGTGTGCTATAATTGATAATCTAGTAAATGATTTACTATTAAATTTTAGTGCTTATTAATGAATAAATTTCATCTAAAGGTAATTTTGAAAAATGAGTTAATGTTCTGAATGCTGATGAAATACTACAGCCTCATGAAGATATTTTTGTTAGTTCTGGTGAGAATAAAACTACTTGGAAAACTTATGATAAAAAATATTCTTAACAAACTTCTATATAACTATTATGGTAATAAAATACGTCAACATTTTAAACTTTTTTTTTTTTTACATTCTTATCACAGCATTTCCACTATGGTGTTAGTTACCTCCCTATGATATTGGCACACTCACATCTTGTCCAATTACTCAAATTTTAATAATGTTTGAAACAAGATGGAATGTGTGAACACCTGCTCCAAAATGTCATCCGATTACTCTAATAATGTTTCAAACAAGATGGAATGTGTCAACACCTGTCCCAAAATGTCTACAATTGATTCATATCAGATAAATTATATTTCCAGGTTAATGCTTTTGAACTGCATACATCTATACTATACCGAATAGCTTTCCTTTCAGCTAAGTAATATCACTATATACACATTTTTCGTTTTAATGTTTTATTTGAATAGACGATCCTACTCCTATGAGATCAAATAATTTCTTTGCTTACTCGTGTATAACATATAATCAATCAATATCACATTTGAGCAATTCCCTACACGGCATTCAGTTTTTTTATTAAAGATTACTAAAAGCACTATTATTCAGTTATATTATATAACTTTTTGTTTTTAGGTATTTTTATGATTTCAACAGCTTATGATTTAAAAGGATGAAAAATTCATTTCAATATTTAAATCTGAGATTAATAATGAGATTTTTGTAAATATTACACCTAGGTGCCTTGTTATAACAACAGCACAAGCATCAGTTCCTTCTAAATGTAGGTTATTACAACTGTATAAAACTAATTTTATAATTAATTTTTTTTTATATGCAGCCTATACTGGTAGGAATGAAATTGAAATTTTCTAACTTTTACAGCCTAAACAGTGTTAAAAATGTTGTTTATTAATTTGAGCAAATTCCTGATTAACAGGGTCAACACAGGGGACATCATCCACAGTTAACTCAAAATCATTGTTAATCCAAGGACAATTAAAAGGTGTCAGAAAACCCCATACCGACAAGATTAAATTGGCCATTTCGGATGCCCCTTTTCTCAAAATCTGCTGCAGATACACGCTTGAAATATTTTGTATATTTAAAGTATACCTATTTGATTATACTGAAATGAGCTTTTGAAACATTTTGAATTTTAGAGTAATTTACAGAATATTTTTAAGGCATAGTAAAATTTAGCACTTTTCTCTCACACACACAAAAAATTTTTTCTTCGTTTATCCCAAAAAGCTCATTTCCGTAAATATAAGGAAACCTAATAAATAAGCCATAAAATTTTAGATACCTGTGAGCAGTAGTTGCTGAGAAAAGGTACATCAAGTATAAAAAAATCACGTTTGGAGAAAAATGTGTTTTTATGTAAAAATCCTCATTTATCAAAGCATTCGATGGCAAATTAAAACTAGATTTTTTTGCAGTTCTAATTTTCATAGAGATTTAAGAATGGTATTTTTAGAAAGATAAGAATGTAGAGAATTTGAAAATGCAAAAATCCGAAATCACCATTTTTTTTTTTTTTTTTTTTTTTTTTTTTTGAAGATTTTGGGTTTCAACACCCCTTTAAAGCAGTTTAACTAAAAGGATTAATCCAAATTATAATTAATAGAAAACATTGACAATTTAATTTAGTTACGTAAATTAAATCATGATTCAAAAGAAAGTGTAGAATAAACATTATTAAAAATGAAGAAATTAAGCACCATTTACAGAACAACATTTAAAAGAGCTTTAACACTATCACTGAATTCAAACTCTCATCAAATAAGTTGGTTAGAACATTTTTTTATTTTTACCCCATTTTTATTGTACAGTGTTTATTGGATTACACACAGTTAAATTATGTAGTATAGTAGACAGAAACAGTTCCTAAAAATTACATCATCATTTACAGATTGCTGTAATCACATGGATTTCACTTTTCATATTTTTCATGGACAATTTTGTTTTGTTTTACACTGATGTTTTGTGTTGATAAATTTTTCCCATCGCTCTGTTTTTAACAAACGAAATATACCAGGCTCAAATAATTAGGTGTTGATTGTACATTTATTATTAGCAACCAATAAATAAATAAATAAATAAAAATAAAAATAAAATAGTCCAACTGAGCTTAATAAAGCAATTTACTAAAGTCAGGATTCCAGAGTTGATTTCTTTTAAATACCCTAAGAATTTATTTTGTAAATTATCAGCACAGACACCATGTGAAAAAAAGTTACAATGTTACCATATTACTTACAAGACAAATTTTCAAGCATCATCATAAGTCACAAGAAGGAATAATAACATTTCCAAATTTTAATCTTTACACGTGAAAAAAAGTTACAATGTTATCATATTACTTACAAGACAAATTTTCAAGCATCATCATAAGTCACAAGAAGAAATAATAACATTTCCAAATTTTAATCTTTACGCGTGAAAAAAAAGTTACAATGTTACCATATTACTTACAAGACAAATTTTCAAGCATCATCATAAGTCACAAGAAGGAATAATAACATTTCCAAATTTTAATCTTTATGCCCCCCCATGAAAGATTAAAAAGCTAAAACAAGAAAAACATTAAACTTATTGCTAAATTTAATTGAGTTATATTTATCTACATAATCTGCTACACAAATTTTTAACCATCTTGTAGATTCATTAGGTTATTTGGAAGCAGGAGAGATGAAAAATAAGCAATGCCCTCGGCAGGACACCAACCATGGACCTCTTGAATATGCAATGAGTGTGCTGACCACTATACCATGAAGGCATGCTAAGAAGCCAGGAGAAACACCTTATATACTCCCCCTTTTAAAAAGTGACTGGGGATTAGGAGGAAATCCACCAATTGCCACCAATGCCACTGTAGAGACATTAGGTTATTTTTTAAATAGGAGAGATGAAAAATGAGCAATGACCTAGCCAGGACTCGAACCACAACCCTCTCAAATATGCGTCGAGGGTGCCGACCACTACACCACGAAGGCATGCTAAGAAGCTGGGAGAAAGACCTTATAATCTGTTAAGTCATTTACAAATTACTGTAAAAACTCAAATGTGAAATTTTGAACTTGCTGTGAAAAATATTTAAAACAATATTTCAAAATTTAGATCCAACACTTTATCATGCTTCACAATAGAATAACTCTGAAACTAAATAAAATAACTACATATATTGAAATGATGAAAGGATTCATTACCAGTAGGAGACTTCATTTCCATGTAGTCACTACTCTGAGAAACTGGCGGTAAGGAACTTAAATGTGACGATTCCACAGAATTGGAGTGTAAAAACACAGCAGGAACAGTAGGTGCTGATGAAGACATTGGAGCCATTGGCAAATAACCATCATTGTTATTGTTTCCTGCAATGGAAATATTATCAAGGATGAGTAAATTCTTACCCATGTAATTAGCTAACATAATTAATATTCAAATATCAGCAAATTTAAATTAGAACATTATAAAAAGTATACGAAATCCAGACTGATATTTTATATAAAAGTAATTTAATTCAAAAGATTTTATGCAGATAAATATTATATTACACTCACCTTGGCATATAAGTCAGGCAGCAATTTTAAGTTTAAAAAAAACTGATGGCTACAATAAAATTTACTGCATAGTAACTTCACGAGATGTGAAAAAATTTAATAATAGCTATACTAATATTCAGCAGATTTTGATTATTGCACTTTTTTAAAATTGATCATAATTTTAAAATAAGGAATAAATAAGTTATAATTTAAGAAGCACAATATAACTTTTCATTATCATTTTATTTTCAATTTTATTTTAGCCAATATAATATTACCCTTCAATATATTATTTTTCAATTCAATAACTATACAACAATATGAAAATGGTATTTAGAAAATAATTGCAACACATTTAAAAACATTTTAGCTCCATATAACACTATGCGTGCACTTTAACTCTTCGACTGCTAATGGGACATATATGTCCCACTAAAAGTTAAAAAATTACTGAGAAGCTCCTGAATGTGGGGGATCATGTTCCAATAGTTGAAAAATCAAGATACCGCTGTGCTCATTGTACAGATATGAACACAGAGAAAAGAACAAATATGAGTTGCCCAATGCGTAATGTTGGGTTATGCAAAGAATGCTTTACCCTGCACCATACGATGTAAATCTATTTCATATAATAAAGTTTTTCAGTATAATAGGTATGCTTATGGTAAGTCAATCGCTCAATTTGGGACATATGTATCCCAGCCTTTGGCTTAAAAACTTTTGTCCCCCCCCAAATGCTAAATCTACTTTATTTATGACATATTTTGTTCACCTGGATAGAAAATGGAGTAATTTTTTTTTTTTAACTCGCATGCAAAAGGTTAAATGGAAGAGGGAAGTTTATATCTAATACTTCTCACTATAAATAGAAATTAAGTGATAAAATTATAACTACAACTAATGTAAAATTTTGTATATTTTGCAACTAAAATGGGAAAAGAAAGCACAGAATTATACAAACCTACAGACATGGGCACATAATCATCAAGCTGTTCCTCTTTAATTGGAGGTTCAGTGTGAAGAGCGCCATCAGTAGGATGACTATGACAATAACGACTGTAAAAACAAGAACGTTTCCATGAAAATGTTCCAGAAATATTACAAAAGAGAAAATGTTGATTTTTATTTACACAATCAATTATCAATTTGCTTAATTTATATTATTACATGATTAAAAAGGAAGTGAATAACATTTGCATAATGCAATATATTAAGCAGATACTTATTGCATCATAAGACTACAAAAAATTAAACAAGGTTCATCTCCAAAATTTATAGGAACAAAAAATACATATATAAAATATATATCCAGACGCTAAAGGTCTAAGGCCTCTTTTTCATGGCTATTTTGGGAATTGTGGGCTTTTTTAACAAAAACTTTGTGCTGGTCAGATGATTAACAAATACAGCCTTTGGAACAATTTCTGCTATTTACTATATTTTGAACTGGTACCATTTTCTAAAATTAATTAAAACACTTGAGATACATATTTATAGTATGATGCAAAACTTCAGCAGCTGTAATTTAAAAGGCATTTGAAAACATTCCAGTCTATATATTCGATTAATTATCATTAAAAACTAATACATTCCCATCTGTCTGTAGAACAAAGAATGCAACTGATAACTATCATTATAAATTCTATTTTTTATTTGTACTCAATTATGAAACTAAAAGACATGCTAGGCATTGAAATCGAAAACCACTTCATTTCCAATTCTGTTTACAGTCAGTGTTTACACAGAGACTTTTGAAAGATGCAGTACTATGCTCTGCATACATGCAAGGACTTGTATACAAGTATCAACTCCTAATTTGAATTACATGAGAGCTTCAGAACTGAATGCTTTTGTGTTCTTTTTTCTCCCACAAGACAACAGAAAGCAATTAAAAATTTATAATTCTTTATCCATTTAGTATTAAAAGGAAAAATACACTTCAGGTCACTCAAGAATTCATATGAAATTATCTGGTTGTAATGAAAGTTTTCTGCCAAAAATGTTCTCAATATAGTTAGGGGGGACTTTGAAAGCAGTATCTTTAGTGCAGGTAGTAATCACTACACAAATCTATGATTTTCTGCCAATGTTTTGGTAGTTTTTCAAAGTCTTTGGCCCAGAAACTTGGTGGCTGGCAGCCCAAAACCACATCAACCTCATTTCAGATGTCCTGTGCAGAATGGAAGATAGCACCAGAAAGATGTAGCTGCCGGTGTGAAAACAGGTAGAAGTCCGACTGCATCAAAGTCCTTCTTAAACACTTTTGAAAAACGATGTTGGGGCTATCTGGTGAGTTTGGCAAAATATCCCGTTTAAGTCCATACAGAATCTCACCAGTTAATGTAGACAGATGTGGTCTTGCATTATCTTGATGGAACATTACATTTTTTGCGGCAGAACTCAGTAGCAGCATCAACACTGACTAACATCTCGCGGTACACCTTCCTATCAAGGATTTTACCTTTTCCAGATATTCTTTGTGAATAATACCATGGCAATCCCACCAGATACAAAGCATGTTCTTTTTCTTAGTCAAATTGAGCTTTGCGACACAAGCACTACCAAACTCAGTTTGATGTTTTTCTTTGGTAGCAGCATCAACAGGGACTAACACTGATTGGATTAATCTTCTGTTATGTTCTTTTTTCGTTAAATTTCATTAATTTTTGAATTGGGGTATTGCTTGTTTATAAGTTTTGGTTTCAACATTTTTCAAATTTTTGTGTTGCATTTATAGGATTATTTGAAATTTATTAAATTATGAACTTTAATTTTTGATTTTAGTGAAAAATTAGTTCTAAATTTCTTTGTCTTTACTGATAATTTTTCAGCAGCTTAATGCACAAAAATATTAGGCATGTTTATATTTTGTTTAAAAAAATTGTTTTGTAATTATATAACAATTTTTTGTAATTATATATATATCAACGCGTCATCTAGAAATATTTCTTCAAATTGTTAATTCACACTCAAAATGGCAGTCGTTAAAGACAAAGTGGCCAAAATTAAGGACTTTTATGGGCCAAAAATTGTTAAATTATTACATTAAGCTTCAAAGTCAGGCTCATAAGCATGCATATATAAATAAGGCTTCAGAAAAGACCCAGATATTGATCATGAAACCCAAAATTGCCCCAAATATTGATCATGAGCATAATTTTCAACTGCATACCTTTTTAACAGTCACCTTTCAAGCCAAAGATGTTTCAATAAAAATATTTAAAAGTTTTCCACAGAGTAAATCTTCTGGTTAGTGAAATATTCCTTACATGTTAAAGAATAAAAAATGAAAAATTTCACAAAATATATAAAATTTTCATATATGCTCAAGAACAAATGAACCGATATCCATCATTTACCATATTTATTCCGAGTTTTTCCGAGTCCATGAATCTGCAGAATTATTAAAAAAAATAGAGGTTTACAAGTGTTTAAAAAAATCTATAAAGAGGTGAAGCAATTCTTCATTAAAGAATAAAAGATATACAAGTTTGGCAATAATTGAAGGAAGTGAGTCCTGTTTCTTCAATCCATTCAGCACAAAGCCATAATATTGACTGTACAATGAAACAAAAATTATACAGCCAAATGCTTTGATAAACTAAAACAAGTAGATTGGCCCAATCAGTATTCGCCCTACTATATAGCATTTTGCATAAAACAAGAATGAGGATAAAGTGCTTGGCTACGCATATGGTGAATTGTGCATTTTTCAATTAATACGTAGAATATAACTTTTAAAAGTCACAAAAATTAAATATAAGAAATTTTTAAATAATACTGCATTATACTGGGTTAGAACTATTAGAACTATCCATATCAAAGCAGCTAAGCAAAGGATACCAAAATGTGACCCCCTGGCAGACTATCCATGGATACAAGCAAATATGTATTACAGAAGGAATGCTGAAAATATCCACAGAGCCAATGTCATAATATGCCAGTCAAAAAAGTACAGAGTGAAAGATGTTTAATATGCAAGTTCCGTTGCATTCCACTGCACAGGTGAAAATACTTTCAAGATACCATACTGTGAAGATATATTTTCAAATAAACAGTAAAAAATTCCTAATTTCCTATTCCTAAAAATGCCTATTTATTTTTAGTTCACTATTCTATATTTACTAACTTTTAAAAATAACTTTTTTTAAAAATAATCATACGGCATGCATTTAAATGTAAAATTAAAATGTTTTGTTGAGAAAAACAAAGTAGTTATAGATTTATTGCAATTTTACTGAATGACCAAACTCCTGTGAAAGCATCGAAAAAACTCCCACTACATGTGTTAACTCCACAGTGAAATATACCTGCATGCAATTCGTAAATGACATCTTAAAACTAGCTAAGCTAATAATGAATGAATTAAATGTTTGGAACTTTTGATTTTAACATATCAAAGCATTACAATTTTATTAACCTAAACTTTCATGCGAAAAGTTACACACACACACAAAAAAGCTATTTTTATTTCAATAATACATAATCACAATCAAGAGATTTCTTACATACTTGGGTTCAATAAGAATAACATACAACTTTCAATAAGAATAACTTCTATAAGAAAATTTAAAACTTCCTATAAGAATATCTTATTTCAATAAGAATAAAGAAAACCAGTGAATATTTCAGAGCTACTCTAATAACTCAGTTTCCAAGAAGTTATAAACTTCTGCTCAGCATATATAAAGACAACTGCCACCAAAAATGTTACTTCGAAAATACTTATTAACTTACCTATGTGAAAAATCAGGCTGCTGAGAAACTTCATATTCATCAATTGAAAGTGAACTTCCTGCACTATCTGTTGAGCAAGTAGCAGACACAGGACTAAATGAAAAGACATTAGCTGTTAATATTTAAAAGTTGTACTGATGTTGAAATACTGTATAATTTATCAAAGAAAAGCAATTATTAAGATACATAATCTTTCCTTATATGATCTGTTAGAAACAGCTTGTTATTTTTGTTACTACACAGATTCCTATTTATGCCTCTGGTCTCTTTAATGTATGAAGTTTAAACTATACTGTTTTTAGTGCAATGATATAATTCTGTTTAACAGATTGACTGCCCAGTGGAAAAATTGACTAGTTCATAAACATATAAGTATATCCATATTATATATGTATTTCATTATAGTATAAAAAAAATCTTTAAAATTCAGTATTGAAAATCTATCTTACCCCACTACCATGATAAAATTCATTATAATCATATAACATGGATATCATTAAAAAGTGACAGTTCAAAGTATCATTACACACAATAAACATTCAGTTTTTCTGCAGCTGCTCACATATATAATGTCCTCTTTAGCGAAAAGACAAAACCAATTCAATGCATTTTATGATAATTCTCAACTTTCAAGACTGCATAACATGGCATAAGAAATTCTACATTACTATCTTGCAAAAAGACCTTTAAAAGTAGAATGAAATGAAGATAATATGGAATATAGTACAGTCCTCAATGTAAAGCTTTGCCTGAAATAGCTTACACTTATTTATAAATAATACACAGGTAACTGCCTGATTTTCTATATTAGAAAATTCCAATCACTGTTTTTCTGCTTTTACTGACATTTTAAGTTAAAAACTGTTTCTTGAGAAACTATAATTTCACACATTTCACAGACAGGCATTTCACACATTCCACATACCTTTTCTTAAAGTCAATGAATTTTTTTTTTTTTTTTTACAAACAGGATGAAAAACATGTCTCTGACAAAACACAACTACTTCCTACTCATGGAAAAAACATAAGTAGCTCTAATTAGTTTATAAAATATGACATTTTAATAAACTAATTAAAGCATTACCTTTAATTAGTTTGTTTTTTTAGATGGAATAGTTAGAAGCCAGTTTGAGAAAGGATAAATAAAAATTAACATACAAATTTCTTAAAGAATTAAACATATGATGTGCAATTTTAATGGTTCAATGTTTCAATCATGATTTTTGCTTTCAGTGGTTTAAAAGGGGAAAATATTAGTTTCTCATTAAACACAGATCTCAGACTTAAATGAAAAATAATTTCATTAAGTAGGACTTATAAGCATTTATAAACAGGTATGAACTCGACATGTTATGACAACTGATATTTTTTACTCAGATAATACAAACATGAAATAAGCATATATTGTTAGACATAGAATAACTAAAAATATTTTCACATACAGGCAACTTTCAGAAACTGGAAATAAATAAATAAATAAATAAAAAAAAAATGGTTGATATACTCTACCTTAAAGGGTTTTGTACAGAAGGAGGGGAATAGGAAACTGTACGTGAAAATCCACTGTGAGGCCTTAAGGAGTCTAGCATATAGCCTTGGGGGGCATAATAACTCCTATGCAAGGAAAAAATGCATACTAAGAAATTTAATTGCATTTAGACGACATTGAAAAATCAAAAAGTTTAAAAAAAATACTGTATTATGTATAACATAGGTCAGTCTGAAAGTAATCCGCAAATGAAATTAAATGTTCAATAAAAAATTCATTTAGAATTTTTAGTCCTAACTGTTTTAAAGATTATACTCAGCAGGCTAGAAAGCAAAAATTGAATGCTGTTTAAAATCATACTTAACAATAAAAATTAGAATGACTTGGTATTTAAGTTGACAAAAGTATATTACTGAACATCCTGAACTTGGGATGCATTCTGTTATTTCAATGAAAATAAAATTCTGATATTTATATCAATAATGGGAATTAAAAGTATGCAAGAAGTTAAAACACAGCTATACAGTCAGTTTCATATGTACTAGATAGAAACAAAAAAAAAAAAAAAAAAAAAAAAAAAAAAAGCAGTAAAATTCTCATTTAGAGGTTGTTAGGAAAATTATACATTTTATTTTAATGAAAAGTTTTTACTAAAGTATATTAAATAGGAGAAGAAGGAGAAGGCTGAAGTAAATAAAACTAAATAAAAAATTTTGAGAAATATGTGTTATAAATGGATTGTGTATTAAAAGAAGTTTATCCACTTGGTTTAAAAAAACTATGGATATGAAACTATTAAATCAGAGGGATATTCTCAAACATTTCCAGTTTGCAGTACTTTAGGTGTAGCAAACTGGAAACAATTTTTCCATATTGTTCTAAGTCAGAATACAGGCCTAGTTATAGCATGCTGTTAATGTTGATTCAATTAAAATACATACTTTAATTTGGCAGCAACACTGTAAAATGTAAATAAATATATGTTTTGAGTGACCATATTACTAATTAAATCAACCATAATTAATATGAAGGAAAAGTCCTTTTTCATTGCACAGTTTTGGAAATCTTAAAATCAAAATTGGACATGGCTGTGACATTTTCTATGCGATATGATCATCTTTTATGGTATCTGCATTCAATGCCTTAAGAGAAATATTATAAATATCTCAATAAGATTTCTTCTCAAGAAATAAACTAGGATGGAGGTTTGGTTCTGAAAAAGTCTTGGTTCCAGGCAAATTTGTCAAAATTACTCCCTTGAAAACAATTTTCAAATCAGCCGATTAGCCAACAAGCTGCTATTAAAACAGTGATTTGTACAGCACTTGCCAGATGTTTTTTCGTATTGTAAAATCAACACACTGATTGCGAGTTTCTTAAATTCTGTGGACTAAGCATCATTTCTATAAAGTACTGGAATAATCTGCAGCATCCTTATCAGTCAGCCATGGTACCATGCTATGAAATCTGAGAACCACTCTATTAGATGCTCAATTTAAATAAAGACCAGTTGTTCTAAAATAGCAACTCTCAATCTGTGGTATGTGGCTAAATTATAACAGCAGAAAACAAATAATATTCTTTTCACAGTTTTACAGTTAGTGTTGCAATAAATGCTAACTGAAAATCAAAATATTCAGGAAGTTTAAATTTGTTGGAAGAAAAAAAAAGTGGTTGAGAAAATTTTTATTATGATTGTTACAACCTAAAGTAGAAAATATAATTACTTGCATCTAGCCCCATCAATATCAGTTATACTGGTCAAATCTTTGTGCACTGCATGTAAACTTTCTCTACTATGTCACAGCTAATCATTTTTCAGATCTGAATTAACAGAACTCTCATTCTTTACTAATGTGGCAGTTTGAGTATGAAAATTAATAGTTTGTGCTTTTAGAATTGTTAAATGTAAAGAATTACTTATATAAATATGGATAATAATTAATCAAAAGTAGATAACCATATAGAATTGAAATTCTATGAGTAATTTGGCATCTGTGAGAATATGGAATTTACAGATCTATCAGTTAAGGGTCTTAACGAATCCGTTACTCTGTTCACAGACAGGCCAATCAATATTCAGAAAATTCCCAATGCCAGTTCTTTTCAAATGAAAATATAATCCTTACAAGTATTTGAAATATGGATTTAATGAAGAAAATGACAACACAAATCTTTGTTTAGTATACAAAGTTTTATCAATGGAAGTCTAAAACTTTCACTACCATTATGTCACTTAAAAACCAATTTGAAAAGGCATTAATATATTTGTTACCCTTTACAAATAGCAAATTTATAGAAAAAGCATTCTCTTCTAACAGATATTTTAAAAAGTAGTAACCATTACAAACTGGATGCTGTTCTTGATTAAAGACTTTACCTCTACGTAATGCTGACTTCAAAAGGTTATGCCGTTATGTCAAAGATCACATAATGAGGCTTACTAACAATTTAAACCAAAGTTATTTAATAATTATTAATTTTTAGAAGTAAAATATGTTGCTCTATTATATACTGAAGCCCATTTGTTGTACTATTTTATTAAAGTAGCTTTTACTTACAGATCGAATTTTAATTTCAGTCTTTTGTATGTATGGAGATATACATTAATTCACTTTAAGCTTAGAGGTTTAGCATTTAATTATGGCACAATAAAATTTCAAAAAAGATTTTAGCTTAGGTGACAACTTCTTCAGTAGTCGATAAATTCATCAATTCACCAGTTTTCTCATTTCCTTTCCATAAAAGCCGATTTTCATGATGTTTAAAGTGCATTAAATATATTTTGGTATAAAAATATGAATCATTATATTTGAAATAAATAATATAAAAAAGAAAAAAATCTGAAACCTTTCAGATTTTAAAATTACATCCAAAGGGGTGTTTTTTAATGCTTTGTGTGTTACCTTTATATATTAAATATTGTGTTCTTCGCACTTAAACCATAAAATTCAGTTGAACAGCAATGCCCAAAATAATTTTAAAATATCTTTAGACTTTCCGACACACAGTTTCGGGCGCTGGAGATAAAAAAGTCCCCCCCCCCCGAGCGCTGCCATTGCTCACTTTTAAATCGTTGAGTTGTTAACAAAAATTCGTTAAAGTTTTACAAAATAGGAAATCGATAATAAAAAAAACATTCCAAATTTCTTCTTCCACATGCCCATATTCGTTCGTCATTCAAAATTTGATGGCTCTACGTACTGTCGTTTTATCACAATGCGAGAAATATACATACATTTATGCAGATTCTTCATTATTTAATTTCTTCAAATATAATACAGGTCGATAGTATTTAATGGCAACGATTTGAAAAGTGAAATTTTCAATGCAAAATCATGAAACAAAAACAACAGTCCTTCAGGGACAAAGGCCGTGTGGACTAACAATTTTTGTTTCATTGTTTTTTCTGACATATTCAATTGCAGTCTATTTATTTTATGGTATAAAAATTATTCAACATTAAGATATATCGTGGGAATATTGAAGAAGAGTACGGTCATAGTTGTAAAAGAGGAAGATGATAAGTGTTCCATAAAGTCTTAAGGGATATGCTAAAGGAAAGATTAGAGCGAAATATGGATAACTGCGGAACAATACATTTTTATTTGGGGGAAAACTAAATTCATTCTTGAAATGAAGGAGTTTTACTTCCCTGGTTACCTAGACAACTCTGACATTCTTCGGACAATGATTTAATTTCTCTCCTTTATTTGTAAGTGACACTGATATTTATTTATAACCACTTAGTAAAAGCTACTACTCAAATGACAAACATTTTATTAACAATATTTGTTGCTACTGAGAATCACCAAAATAGTATTCAAGATGCATACTTGTTCACACTACAACACTCACTAAATAATTATAATATATTGCTACAATTTAAAGCTACATTACAGATGCTTCATGCTTGCCAGACATTCATCTATTTCCGATGTCGCCACTTCCCTCTCATCCCAAAAAAATCTATAACAGCATCAATACACTTCTATATTATAAAAGTCAAGAAGAGATATCTAGTTAAATAAAGCAAATGGAAATAACAGTAAAGTTTTATTTAAAAAATGCAGTTAAAAAACGCAATAAGATTTTAAATCGATTGTTAAGTTACATAAATTTCTTTTCTAAAAACAGGCCCTGCTATTTGGAAACCTTGAAGAAGCTGCTGGCTCAACAAACAGATCAAGTTACAAAACATATAACTTTAAGAGCCAGTCAATGTTGATTTTTAATTTCTTATTTTAATTACTGAAATAATATACTTAAAATTCCATTAATTCATGTATTTAAAAAGAGTTAGCTGAATGTAAAAACATCATTGAAATATTCTGATATTTTACTAAGCAATAAAAACATTATAAACATATTTTTAATGTGTAAATAAAGCACAGATATAATTTGCATCTCAAGTGATAATTGAGAACAAAGTGATTAACTTACCTATTATTAATTTCTTGGCCTTCACTAATAGTTCGAGGCCTGGAAGGCATGCTGTCGCAACGGTCCCTAATACCTCCATAAGATATTGTTTGAGGACTAACAACAGCAATAGGTCGCCTAGTAGCAATTGGCCTAGAATTTTCACTGTTTGATGCACTCCTAGGTCTACCTAATGGACCCAGATCTTCATGTTCTCTGCACGATTTCATTGCACTAAAATGAAATCTACATTAAATCAATGCAATATTATAGCTTATAATCATAAATATAATACATTCATGATAACCTAATACAGTTTTATGAACATCTAGTCATTGCTTTGTACTATTTCATTATTTTTTATATAAATCATAACACTTCTGCTTCACAAGCATTTCTGCTTGTAGGTAAAATATATCTCCATAAACAACTTATACTATAATATTAAGTCATTTTTAAAAGTATACACTATAATGTAGCCAGAACTTTATATTAAACTTAATGGAAAAATTTACAAACAGAAATACTAAGTATTGCATAAAAACAGCAATATTCATTAAAATTTCATACTTTTCTAAAAAGTAAAATAGACAATGAATTCAAAGCTACATACGTTAAAGTGACTTCATGCATGTTTTGTGCAATAACAACATCTTCGGTTTCCAACCAAAGTTCTCCAGCACCAGTTATAGACGAACGACCAAGCTCAATGACAAAGTAATTATTTGTATGCCCACATCTTCTAATACTCATTAGCTACATATAAATATGCTATTCAGTAACTAAAGACAATAAAATATTATAATATATTATATACAATAAACAATATATAATGTATAATAATATTACAGCATTAGATCTTTAACCCCTTAACTGCCGCGGGCGTATATATACGCCTTGCTCAGCCGATGCGTTAACTGCCCCAGGCGTATATATACGTCCTTCCAAACTGCTATCATTTGCTTTGCGCTGCTACACCTAAAATTATTCGCAAAGTCAACGCATCGGCTGCGCATCTGGGGCAGTTAACGCATCGGCTGAGCAAGGCGTATATATACGCCCGCGGCAGTTAAGGGGTTAATTTAATGGCTTCATAAGTAGACAGTCCTCAGTATGTCGTCATTCAGCAAGCAATAAGAAATTAAATTTTTGTGAAAAATATTTGTTTTATAATTAGAAAGGACATTTTGGGAAAATTATATTGCTTTGCTAAACTTTACATTAATAAAATAGGTACTTTGCCATTTGTGCACCTGAAATGCTTCTTGGCATCTGTGAAAAAAGTCAAACACATGCCAAGACCTGACATTTAGCAGTACCATAAAATATTTTAAAATCATCATTTATGAATATTAATGTGAAGTAACAGTATATAATCTGCAAAGTGTAATGTTGTTATATGTCATATTTAAAAATTCTTAGCTCTCATCCTTAATTAGAGAATAAATTTTGCAATATAAATTCTCAACATTTAATAACATAAGTCATATTCCATATAAGTTTCACTAATACTTTAAACAATATTTCAAGTTTCAAATGAATTCACTCACAATATTCTCAAAGCATAACTTAAATCTTTATGAAATAAGGAGAAAAACTTACAGGAAATTCTAGAGTTTCTGGAGGATCAGACTGGTCAACTTTAATTAAAGTCAAGGCGCTTGGAGTCAGACATAATCGATACAGTCCTTTCATATTCCTCGAAGACGCTAATGATTTATCACCCACAGTAACTTGCCATACATGTTCTGAAATTTCATAAATTAATACATTTAATATTAAGAATTAACAAAATTTCATGCCTGTACAATGTTTTCAATATTAGTACCTTAACCCATTAGCCACTGGTGTTGCGTTGACGCAACGGTCGAAATAAATGCCTATATAAATATAACTACCCAAGATATTTTATACCACCAGATGGTTTTGTGTTGGGAATATTATGAAAACTATTTCTGTAAAAAAATATTTGCCTTTAATGATCATTTTATTTCTAATAATTAATCTCGTACTTTAAGCAAAATTTTTGACAGGGTATTTTTGCCGAAAACATTTAACGAAAGAATCGTCGTCTTTATGAGTGATCTATTTTTAGACAAGGTCACCGTTTATCAGAACATTACATCAATCAGATATTTATATTTGTGTTGGGAAGGAAAGGAAAACAGGTGTTGCGCTGACGCGACGTTAGCAAGAAACAAGAAACAGGTAATCTCCTTTCTTACTCATTCCTTTTGATGTTCTGGCTGCTTTAAAAATGCCTAGAACGATGTATTTTTACTTATTCCTTTCGATGTTCTGGTTCATGTTCTGACTGCTTTAAAAATGCCTAGGTATCTTACATTAGAAGAAGTCCTTCAAAGATTTTTTGATGAATAAACAGATGATAATGTTAATAATGACCAGAATGAAACTGATATTGTTGTTCCTCCAGAAATTATAGAAACTAGTGATGAAGAAGGGAGTGACAATGTTTTAAATAATGATAATGATATTTTACCAAATGATACTGCTGGGGTAAGTTGAAATTCATGTAAGAAGTAATTTTCAGCCTTCTAAAAGCAGTGGCAGTCATACGAAAAAGTTTAAATTTCAGAACGCTGAAAACTTGAAATGAATAAAAAAGGAACCATCAGTTATGTCTCAGGAAGAAAATGAAGAGAAACTATAAAAGACAAAAGACAAGGTAAAACTAGTGGATGAGATTTTTGATTTTCTTTTTGGTTCAGAAATTTACTCTCTTCTCGTTGAAAAAACAAATATATACGCTAAAGTGAAGCCCAGAATTTATTGCATCTGAAGCCTATATGAGAAGATTTATTGGAATATTATTGCTTACAGGATATCATTCTTTACCTCAAGCAGAAATGTATTGGTCTCTTGATAAGGACATTTCTGTTCCTATTGTATGAGAATCAATGTCACATTTGTAGTACAGGAATATGAAGCACAATTTGCATTTAGCTTACAACAGTCAAATTGACAATAGTGATAAATTATATAAGGTGAGACTGTATCTAAACTTACTAAATAAGACATTCGAACAATTTGGTATATTTTCCCGCGATCTGAGTATTGACGAGCAAATGATTTCTTATTGAGGCAAACATTCAGCAAAGACGTTTTTAAAAGAAAAACCTAACAGATTTGGATACAAAGCATGGACTCTGGCGTCATCTGACGGATAAGTGTCTCATTTCGATATTTATTCAGGTGAGTCGACAGCTCCAAAATTACCAGAATATGAAGAATTTGGGCTTGGAGAAAGTGTGGTGATAAATCTGCTCAGTGTTGTTGAAACTCCCGCCAATCATGCTATTTATTTTGATAACATTTTTACATCATTTCAGCTTCTCTGTCATCTAAAAAAATAAAGGTTTCAGTGCTACAGGAATAATTAAGAAAAACCGCATACAAATGTGCCCACTAGAAACTGTGAAATGTGTCTGTAAGAAAGATAGGGGTTATGATTTCCAGTATGAAGAGAAAAACAAAATAATTTTTGTCCGATGGAACGACAATTCGGTTGTAACTGTTGGTTCAATATTTGGAAACACTCAGCCTATAAAAAATGTTTCCTGTTATTCAAAAACGCAAAGGAAAAAGGTTTTTATATCTCAGCCTCATCTTATTAAACAGTGCAATGCCAAAATGGGTGGAGTCGATTTATGTGATAATTTAGTAACCAATTACAGAATAAGAGTTCGTGGCAAAAAATGGTGGTGGCCAATATTTACTAATTACATTGATGTAGCCTTGATAAATGCATAGAAAATATCATGACTTTCTACTACTTGAAATAAAAAGTCTCTTTTAGATTTCAAACTCTTATTGAGAGTATAGAATTAGCCAGAAATAGATCAGCAACAGGAAGACCTAGTAAATTCAACATTCAAAAACCACTGCATGGAGATGGTAGACATTTTATGGTAAAGTCTGATGATAACAAAAGACTTCGTTGTAAAGAGTGCTATAGCCAGACTGTTTACGATGCAAAGTATGTAATGTAGCTTTACATTATGATTGTAGTGAAGCTTTTCATGCTTGAATCTTTCAAATTAAATAATCTGTATATTTAAAAGAAATATAATGTATACTTTAATACTAAATTAATTACAAGTAAAGAGATTTATAGATTTATAAAATGTTATACAGCTAAAAAGTAATCCAGTGCTCCCCTCAAAGGAAACATTGCGCGAGTACAATCGTACTCACTAAAAATCTGTAATCTTATTCCGCTGACGTTGCACGAACACAACACTCGTTTTTTTTTTTTACAGGTAAGAGCATTTTTTTTTATTTTCAATGTAAATTTGTTATAAATGCTTAATTTGATATTTGTTATTATTTTCATGAGAAAAGAATCATTCCTTGTAGCTTTGGCGGTTAAGAGCTTTCCTAACCTAACAAATGGTAAAAAGATTTAAAGTTGAATTAATGACTAAAAAGTGCCCTTTTCTAGAAATGCTAATCTTGGCTAGTCTTAGGTTAAATTTTAAAACTTAACATGAATTAAAATATATTCAATATAGGAAATGTTCAATTAAAATATTCTGGGTTCACCAAAGTTTGAGAACTTCATTAAACACATATTTTAATTTTTAAGTTGCAATTTTACTGGAAATAATTATTTAAAACAATGATTTTTTTCTTAACTCTTTCAAAAAGAAAAATTTTTTCCAATGGCTTGAAATAAGACTAACATACACATTCTGAACTAAAACAAAAGATAAAATTTTGAAGTGACAAATTGCGTTAAAAACTTATACAGTACAAAGTCTGTAATCCGGTCGTCCATTATCCAGAATTATCTATAATCCAGACCTCAAAACCACAAACTTTTTTTTTTGTATGCTTTACGCATGCGCGCTTCTGATATGCATGCGTTGCTCCCGATAGTGAAGAAAGTGACAGAGAGGTTATTGAAAATGAAAAAATTTCGATTGACAGTTAGTCGGTATTCTTGACACAGCAATTACAGGACTTGAACAGTGAAACTTTGTAACTGAACATGAAATTATGTCTGTTTATAGAATTAAAGAGAAAGTATTAGCACAAAAAACGAAGCAACTTAAACAACTTACATTGAAAGAAATGTTTAATAAAGTAAACAAATACATATTAAGCATTTTTTGTAAATTTTGATACCCTTTAGATCATAATTGTTCTTTATGTCATAAATTATGGTTCCATATTTTTAATTGTATAATTTCTGCATGCCATCTTGCCAGATTTAAATTGAATCTATAATTCGGAACAACCCCTAATCCAGAATCGTCGAAGTCCCGACGAGTCTGGATTACGGACTTTCTACTGTATTTCTATTAAATTTAATAAATTTCATGACTGAAAAAAAAGTAAGAAATTCAAACTGTCAGGCTATAAAATACCGTATTTATGCGAATCTAACGCGCATCCCCATTTTAAAACTTTAAATAATAAAAATATTGTTTGTCGGCGAATGTAATGCGCATCAATGATATGAGGAATTTATTGAATCTTATTTTATACAACAATGGATTTGTATATAAACTATCAATTAATGGTATGATAATTTTATTTAAATTTAGATACCATATTTTATACAACAATGGATTTATACATAAAGTAGTAGAACTAGAATTAACCTATTAGTGGGCAATTGTTATGTGAACAATAGTTACAATCATGTTAATTACCACTACCGTATATACGGTAATCTATCGTAAATTGAACATGAAATAATCGTAACATTTCTATCTAGCGAACAGTTTCTACGATTAGTGATTAATAGTAAACGTTCACTTTATTCACTGTTTTCATCACTGGAATCCTCGCAGATCTTTTCGTCAGCCGCAGATTAATTTCTTCTTTCCTCCTCCTCCTCCTCATCATCATCATGCAACATTTCTTGAAAGATTTCACAATCTTTGGTGCTTCGATGCTTTTCCAGGCAGCAGAAACTCAGTGCAACAATCGCACATTGTTGCATTAATTTTTCCTGCCGGGGTTAATTCACGGTCATCGGCGAACTTTGCACTCGAATCTAATGCGCCATCGAATCTAATGCGCACCCCAATTTTGAATACTACATTTGGCCAAAAACGATGCACATTAGATTCGCGTAAAAACGGTATACTGTAGGGAGGAAGGAATTATTATTACTATAATTGAATGAGACTTTATTCTTCAAAACCTAATTATTTTATCAAGTAAAATGTTAAAAAATGCATAAAGATTTGTTACATGGGTAAGCAAATTTTAAACTACTGATAGTTGGATCTAACAATGCTTTTAAACTTTAAATGATAATTCATACTTCATGTAAATAAATTAACTTTAGAATTTCATTTTTAATTAAACATTTGTCAATAAAGTTTTATTTATAAAAATATAATTCAATTTCTTAACCTTTTTTTTTATATGCTGATCATTTAGAAGTTAAAAGTAAAAATAAAATATAGCATATTTAAAGAAAAAAAGACTATTTTTTGATTTGCATCCCCAGTCTCAAGTTGGTAAGAACTGCCATGTTTTGGATATATTTTCAGGGTGTGTACAGCTGCAATTTCGAGATTCAAGAGTCATCTTCATAACTAACATGTAGATATCCCCCCCTTGTAATGAATCATTACATCATTGAGGAGTTTGCTAATAAAAAAGGATGTGTTGTATTTTCCCCCCAGAAATACAGCATTTTGCCTATGGCTGTTTCTTGCATTTTTAATTTAGTTAATTCATTGCTGTTTTATGCAATTTTCAGTATTTCATTATGTATGTTTCTTTTATATAATTTTTAGTGTTTCATTTATGGATGTTTCTTCACTGTTCTTAGGTGACCATGGTAAGTCCTCTCCTGAAATAAGTGCAATTCTCCAACTTCCCCCTTTTCTTTCTTTAGCAATAACAGCTTTTTCCGAATTTGCGCAGTTCTCCGATTTTTTCATCGATAACATCTTTTTTACAAATATGGGCCTGTCTCCTCTTTTTTCAACGTTAAAACAGATCTAATCTTGCAACTGCTAAATGGTTAATTATTTTTTTTATTTTTTTTTATTATGTAATTTCCAATGTTCCCTTATAGAAGTTTATGCAATTTTCAGCATTTCATTATGGATGTTTTTACATTTCTAATTTCGGTAATTCATTGCTGTTTTATGCAATTTTCAATGCACTGTCATTTTTAAAAATAGCTATAGTTTTTCATGCGTTAGGTTGTAAAAATTTAGTTGCAAACGATTGGCAACTTAGCATGAGGGTTGGACAGTTAATCATAGAACACCTGTCAATGCTTAAATTTATCAAATTAAGCACAGTAATATGAAAGAAAAAGAATAAGTATCTGCATGTGATTTACAATGAAAAATAAGTCAAATTAACTTTACGTATTAACTTGACTACTATCGTATAAGTAGCATTCCTTTTAGTCATGTAGTAATGTTTAAGTTTTTCCTGGCAACATTTTCTAAAATGTTTCAACTGTTCAATGAAAAGATACAAATCAATCAACTAATCTACAGTTGTTTGCAACAGACACAGATATCGTTTAAACAAGATATGACAAAATTTTTCATTGAAGCTATACAGGCCAACAGATTTGACATTATGTAAAAATCATCATGGACTTAAAGATTATTTTTCAGTAATTAAAAATTTTCAGCTTGTAGCCTTATGTGTTGCATTATGTCAGTTCACTGCAGCTACATTTGCATCACTGTCAAACCAAAACCAAAGTCTTTCATAATGCTTTCAGAAGATTGAAGACTAAAAAATTTTAATATAGCCTGGGCAACAACCATCAGATCTTATCAGTCAATATCAAGCAACAACCATCAGATCTTATCAGCCAAAGATTTAAAATGTCATGCAGTAGAATAAACTTTTCCATGAAATTATCAAAATATTTGATATTAACTGCAAGTCATAATAGATTTAAGTTCTTGAAATCTAAGGAGTATAGTGAAAAGGGGAAAAAAAAGTTGAATAAAACAAACATACCAAATTTTGGCTTTAACTTTACTCCACCATTCATACAAGGTCCATCAAGTTGTAACTCTAACATAGCATTTAGCCAGTCTTCCAGAGAAGCTTCACTATCAGCAACAACTGAGAAACAGTCATCTTTTGTATATAAAGCTATTGCTAATTTATGCTTGGCATCAACCTTTCGATTAATGTTAAAACACGTTTTGATATGAATACTTCGTTTTGGAGGGCCACCAGCTTTAAATTTCTTTTCACTGTCATAGTACTCTAACCGAGCTGGTCCACTTTCAGATTCGGTACGCAAAACAAAATACTTTTTCTTCATAGTCTAAAAGAGAAAAACATGAGAAACCATAATTTTAAATACTAAAAAATATGCAAGTCCATTATATTATCTAATCTTATGGAGCATAGATAAAATCATACATATTAATGCTGTAAAATGTGAAAGCTTATCAAAGATTACAGAACTAAAATACAAAACATAAATTATTATTAAAAATAATTTGACATAAAATATGCAGATACATAGTTGTATCATACTGTTAAAATATCTGAAAAAGCATTTCAATACGAATGAAATCAGTTCATGCTTTCCAAGCAACAACCAATTCATAAATAAATTTGTTTATTGTCAATTGTACGACGTCATGATTAAAATTTAATGTAATATAACAACAATTTCTCCATAACAATAAAGGAATTAGCGTTGCAATAACATTAAGTATACTAACCTGAAACAAAAAAGCTGCCAACAGCAGCTATTTATTTAAAATGCTGACCAAAATGCTGGTAAAAATTTTCGACATACAATTACGTCACATGCAATTGCATACTTTCTTCATTGTCAGAACATGATCTTATAAAATAATAATATATTTAATGTTTGGCATTGGTATTTTTATTTCATATTTTATAAAACTTACAAATTTTTTTATTAACAAACTCTGCAATTTGAAAACCAGCAGTAGCACCACACTTTTTGAAATGAAGCATTTTTATCTTCAATATATGAGACTGTTGCTACTCAAGTGAGTGTGAAAATTGAAGATTTCAGAGTTTTTAATTTATATTTCATCTGATTAAAGTCGTACAAAGATGAGAATAGTCAAAATGGCTTCTCACAAATTTTTGGAACCAGAATAATATTATTACTTTTTTTTCCCTTCATGCACATACAGGTTCGTGGATTTGGAGTGAATAACGATGACACTTGATGAAGTATCGAAATACAATTTATTACCCAGTATTCTTAGGACAGCTCCAAAATCATGTTTACAGTTATGGGAGAACTACTATAAACACGCTGAAACAATCAGTGACACAGCCTTCAAGCTATCGGGCTATAATGGTGAAGACAGCTTCAGCATGGCAAAGCATCAGAGTACAGCTCCCGATTCTGCACAGTCGTTCCCAGAATTCTACTCGATGATACACTACTCTCGAGACTCTCCACGCTACAACTCGTGATGCACTCGATGATACACTAGAGTTCCGACTTGGTTTGGTCGCTCTCAGAGTTCAATACACTCTAAGATAAAACTCGACAATGCACTAACTTGCGACACACTAAGAGATTCTCTCGGTGCACTCGACAACCTACTTGGCACTAGACTTGGAGACACTCGCTCACTGATTCTTAACCGACTTGACTAGGTTCCTCACGCACGGTTTATATCGCTTTTGTCTTGTTTTCAAGAAAATTCTGGGCTAAACCAGTAAGAATTCGTTCCAGAAGGTTCTTCATCCGTCTATGGCATATCGCCAATTTTGTCGCCAAATATGGCAGTCCTGCCTTCCCTTGCCATTTTCTGACAAACACAAACCTACTTTGTAAGAAAGCTAGCTATCTTACCACTGCTGGACATTTTGTAACAATATATTAAATGTTTGGCACTGCCATTTCTATTTCATATTTTGTAAAACTTACAAATTCTTTATTAACAAACGGTGATTTGAAAGCAAGCAGTGGCAACACTTTTTGAAATAAAGCAGATTTTTATCTTCAGCGTGCGAGACTATTGCAACTCTGTGCTTTTACAGTTTTTAATTAATATCTCAGCTAATTTAACCATACGAAGATGAGAATGATCAAAATGGCTTCTCATGAATTTTTGAAATCTCCTGAAACACAACACCCTGCTGTTCAGGAGCAGATAATGCCACAAACAAACAGACACACACAGATTTTAAAATGTACCTTCATAAAAATGTCAAAATCATTCATAAAAACTTTTAGAATTTACATATATAAATTCTCTCACATATGATAAAGCACTAACAAATTTACTACGATATTAAAATACCATAATACAGAATTTAACAAGTTCTCTATTATAGCATTTTAACATCACAATCTATCTAATTTTTATATGCACCAACATTTTTATCCATAAGAAATATTTTTCTTAAAGCTAAGTTCAGGTTACACTGATTTAGGCCACAAGGATCACACTTTCAGTGTCATAATACTGTAATACTTCATGCAAGGATGTATCAGACTCTTGATGTGCAGTGACACCTGACATTACATTTATCATCTATTATGCAGTAATTTTAAAGATTCAGAACAGAGATGATATCTTTTAAATAGTACAGATTATGTTTATAACACAATTTTAAGCTACCACATTTAAAAATAATTAAAAAATATCTAGGACTTATCATGGAATATGAAAACCGGTACTTTTCTGTTTCGCCAGCGCAAATCTCGCCAAGCAGACATTATTGGCGACACAATACAGTATATACATAAAAAATTTTAAAAAACGTTACTTCTACGAATTTTTTATTTTGAAGGCAAAAATATTATATCATTTAAAATTTTATAAAAAGCCAATAAATTTGTAAAATACATTAATTTTAGAATTTACTATGCTTTCATGGTTCAACATCCTGATTCGCCGGTTCATATCACGTGACCCCAAGTGATCTCATCTCACGTAAACTACGCTACAAAAATCCAATTCTCTCAGTAATTATCTACATTAATTTCAAGCTCAATCTTAATTTGGAATAAAAGTTTAAAATCCAAGAATTATTTCAATTCGTATTAATAGCTTACTCAGAAATCGTGTGAAACCGTAGTGCTTAACTTCGCTAGTGCATCCTTACTAGAATCGATGAATTTAACCCTTGACTTTGCCTTTTCTATATTTTCGCCTTCGGGTGAGCAGTGTGATTGCATCCTAATTGACTTAATTACCGTGAATGCCCTTAGGGCATAAAATTGAGCTATCTGATAAAAATTCTATGTAATTTTATGCCAGTATTGAAAGAAACAATCAATCTGATAAGAAATGGCTACGATTTGTTTTGAAAATGAGACGTAAAAGGTTACCAGAGAGGATATTCAGTTTGGCATCAGTTGTACCACTATTGGCGACTTTATTGCCTGCGCCAGCAAAACGGAAAAGTACCTGAAATCCTTTTAAACATAGGCACCTGTCTTGATTCTCTAAAAAAAATATACCTGGAGCACTGCCTTTATCCAAAACCAAGAACAAACAAGTGCTCGTATAGATGAAGTATAAGATAAAAGGAAAAGAAACAATGCTTTCTTTGTGGTCCTAAATATCCATCCATTCATGCAAATTCTATGAAATATCTCAAACCAAAAAAAGAAGGGGGAGTTCAGTTGGGTTTATCATAATACTGCAATTATTTTTAAAATGAAAAGATAGACCTCATTGTCAGTTTATGCTACAGGATATTACAGTCAACAAGAAGTGCTACTTTCTAATTGCCAAAAAACATTTACATAAAATGTTTAGAAAATAAGACACTTAAGGTTAGGCACTGCTTCTTAATTATACTCCAGTGCACTGCTTAAAATTAACACAAGCTAAAAGCAAACACAAAAATGATTTTGTATCCTCCTTCTAATTTTTCCAAAAATGAAGGTACAAATTTCAATGCTAATGATACTGTGCAAAAGGTACCAGCAGTTTATGAAATATTTTGATAACTATGTGAACAGTAGCAGAAGTGTGCGAGGTTTAAAGTGTAATATTTTGAAGAAAAAAATACTTAAATTTTTTTTTACCAAATCTGACAATTTAACACAAGCACTGTACTTTCCGAACATATATTAAAATATAATGAGTATACTCTTAAAACATTAACTATTTGCACTAAAAAGACGTGCCACACATGTCGAGACGCTTTTGTCTCAAACCACAAGCAACGTGAATACCACGTCGATAGGCATTTATCACAAAAATGAAAATAACGTGGTGCACACATCGCCTAACAACAAGATTGTTTATATTTAGGAACGTGCACAAACTCGGTTAATACACAATAATTTAATAATGTAGATTTTTTATGGCATTATAATGTAATTTTTTGTGGCAAAGTTATGTTTTTATATATTGCTTTGAGCTTGATAACTCACAGAATATTATTCTTTTTGTAATGTTTAGAATACTAAATAAAATAAGTTCATTGTTAATTAAAAAGGTTTTCTCTGCAAAATATATTACCATTTGTCCGAAGTTATTAAATAAGTCAAGAAATGATTAATTTCAAACAGTTTATTTCTCGAGTTACAGCTCTGGATTGCACTCGCAGACGCGGAGCAGCGTAAATGAGACACTTTACCACTTGTTATATTGTAGCGCACGGCACCGCAACCGTGAAGTTTAATTGTAGCGCAAGTGGTTAAGTTTAAAAATTTTCAAAAGGGTAAGAAGCTGTATATATCTTTGATTTAAAAAAATATTACAGTAGGACTCAACAATTGTATACCAAATTTCATTATTTGTCCACAATACAATCAGTACAGTTCTTTCACATATTTTAAATATGATGACTATATAATGCATCATCAAAATTATTTCAGATGTTGAGTTATTATACACACATAACAAACATTATTAATTGAAATAAAATATCTGCAAAGTATATGCAAATAATAACCTTTTTGAATTTACACAAAGGACTACATAGTCTGGTAAAAGAATTATTTTTGAAAAAATACAGTACAAAGTCTGTAATCCGGACGTCCATTATCCGGAATGATTTATAATCCAGACTTCAAAGCTACAAACTTACGCATGCGCGTAAAGCCAGTAAAACGTTTACACATGCGAGCTTCCGACAGCGAAGAAAGTAACAGAGGTTATTGAAAACAAAAAAAATTTCGATCGACAAGTTAGTCGGTATTCTCGACATGGCAATTGCAGGACTTGAACAGTGGAACTTTGTAACTGAACATGAAATTATGTCTGTTTATAGAATTAAAGAGAAAGAATTAGCATAAAAAACGAAGCAACTTAAACAACTTATATTGAAAGACATGTTTAATAAAGTAAACAAATAAATATT